GGGGGGGGGGGGGGGGGGGGCTATGATATTTTCCTTTGATAAATCAACATCTCTTGAGGGGGAGTCAGAAAAAAACCCCTGAGATGATCGGGGGGGGGGGGCTTCAAAAAAATGAAAGGAAAAAATAAGGAAATCATCATAGCCCACCCTCTAGATAAATTATGAATGCTCCCTAAATACAAAGTAAACCAAAACCCACACCCACAATATAGCTATTTACAATAAAGCAATTCTAGCTATTAAAATATCTGATAATAAAACTTAAAAAATTTTAAGAATAGTCGATAAAAATGGAGATAACGATGACAGGAAGCTATCTATTTTCAAACTTTAAAAAACATTTTTCTGTGCATGCTGGTAATTAAAATTGCATCAAAATCAGTCTTCTGGTTTTTTGGTCAGCGTCACTGACAGAAAGCCCGTGGACTCTAGTCACCTTTTATAATTCTTGGAACTCTAAAAGAAATGATTTTATCGAAAGGGAAAACAAAGAAATCATAGTTTTTGGTCACATTTCCATTTCCATTTTTGGGTTTTTAAATAAGTAATACCAAAACATCATGACATAGCTTCTTTAAGTCGTTATTTCAATGCCATTTTTTATAGAGTTGTTATGCTTACAAGTGACGGAAAAAGCCATTATCTTCTTCATTTCACTTTCTTCGGTGGAGTTGTGAGCTTTCTAATTTACAGACTTGACAGTTGTGCTCGTTCTTTTTAGCCGTGGAACGAGCGCAAAAGAATGTGTGCCGTCATGACTTACCAAAGTTTCAGTTGTTGGAAACACAATGTAACGAATGTTACAGTTGTTGGTGTACAATGGACTCTTGTAGCCGCGTTTGAAAGATAGTTTTTGAATTTTCGGTCTCCCTCTACAGCCGTTTCAACTTCCTTCTTTTACTAAATGCTTCCATTCAAGGTAACGTAAAGAAAACTGCTTTGGAACGAATATGCGAATGAAACTTGGTTTTGTGAAAAATTCCTCCGAGAACGCCCCTTGGTCAGAAAGGTCTGCCGCACTTCATGCAGGCGCAATCAAACCGGAACAAGGATTTTTGTGGTTTGGTTTTGGATTCTTCCAGAGCGTCCGTTGCAAGTTCCTCCGGACAAGGGTAACGAAGGCTCAAAACGAGATTGGCGTCAAAAGCAAATATCGGGTAAGATCGATCCGCTTGTCTTTTGAAAATTTTATTTCTGATTTCGATAATGCACCTTATTCCAAAATGGCGTCAAATTTTGTTATTCTTTAGTATTAATAATAATTGACCCTCTAATGCCCGACTTCAAGTTAAAAATTTCTTTTGAATTCTGTTAGTGTAATCGAGGTAACACGTAGGGGCCAAACCACCCATCAAATGTTTCAACTAAATTAAGGTTTTTGGTGAGATTTTTAATAACTTTGTTGATGTTGATCGTCTGCTTGCGAAACTTGGTAGGTTAATATAAGACAACATGTCAATCATTTTGAAAGACTTATTTGTAGAACTTGTCACTATATGACGTCATAATTGATGGCGTCATATTTTTCTTTAAATTAAAGTTTGGAATTGTTTTTATTTGTCTACGGCTTAAGATAGAGCGCGTCGAGAGAAGTTG